TCAAATGTGATTGGAACACTCAATAAGGTGACCACAGTATGTGTGTGTCTGTGTGTGTGTGAGTGAGAGAGACAGATAGACAGACATACAGAGAGAGGCACAGAGCAAGAGAGAGACAGAGAGAGAGGGAGGGAATCAGAGAGAGACAGACAGAAAGACAGACAGACAGACAGACAGACAGACAGACAGAGACAGAGAGAGTAGGGGAGGGAGGGAGGGAGGGAGAGACAGACAGAGAGAGACACAGAGAAAGACACACAGAGTGATTAAGTGAGTGAGTGAGTGAGTGAGTGAGTGAGACAGACACACACACACATATGCACACAAAGTGACAGAGAGAGAAAGAGGAAGGGAGGGGAGAGAGACAGAGACAGAGAGAGGGAGACACACGCAGAGAGAGTGAGAGACAGAGAGAGATACGCACACACACAGAGTGACAGAGATGGGGGAGGGAGAAGAGAGAGAGAGACAGATACAGAGAGAGAATGACAGAGAGAAGCAGAGAGGGAGGGAGGGAGAAAGACAAAAAGTAAGAGAGACAGACAGACAGACGCAGAGAGAGCGAGAGAGAGAAAGAGAGAGAAAGAAAAAGAAAGGAAGAAAGGAAGAAAAAAGAAAAGGGAAGAAAGAAAAAGAAAGTGGGAGAGAGAAAGGGATGAAAGAAAGAAAGAAAAAAGGAAAAAAAGAAACAGAACTTATGACCACAATTGAGCCCAAAAATTTGGTTGCCAAGCAAGAGGGTCGTTAAGTGAGTTTCACCACATTTTCCAAGTTGGCCACACCCACCCGGTCACATGACTGCCAAGCCACTCCCACAAAACAGGCCACACCTACAGAATGGGTTCTAAAAAAATTTGAAATCCATCACTGCTGCCTACCCGCCCAAACATCATTATGGATTCTCTGTGCATGTGCAGAAGTGCCCCATGCACACACACATTCCCAGTTCCAAACCAGTAGTGAAGGTAAGAGGATTTCATGCCTTATAGAATTAGGTAGAAGACTGTGGCATTCACAATTACTTTTTATTGAAGAGGGCAGCCCTTTTAAGCATGGAAATCACATGAATTAATTATTTCTAAAAGAGAACAATTTTTAAAAAATGAGCAAACTACTTCAGAAGGTAAGGAATGATTTTGTGGATTAATAAAGTCTCAATAAAACTTTTCTACTCATTTCTTCTTGGCAGGGGAAAGAAAAGAGCAAGAGATTACCACAATTCTGACTACAATAAAAGACCGAAATGTTTTCATGCATTTAATTTGATGCAAAAGTTAACACACGAAGATATGAATTTATATGATACTTTCTCTTGAAGAAAGTGTCTGTTTATATTAAACAGATAATACAGGTAGTCCAGCACTTACAAGGACAATTGAGCCCAAAATTTCTGTTGTTAAGTGACACATTTGTTAAATCAGTTTTGCCCCATTTTACGACTGTGTAAGTTACCAACCAGTTTGTTAAGAGCATCTTGCTTCTCTGCTGACTTTGCTTGTCAGAAGGCTGCAAAAGGTGATTCCATGATCTTAAGACAGAGCAATGGCCATAAGTATGAACCGGTTGCCAAGCATCTGAATTTTGATCACACGATCAGGCTGCAAATGTCATAACTGTGAAAAACAGTCATAAGTCACATTTTTCATATTTTTCAGTGCTGTCGTAACTTTGAACGGTCATAAAACAAATTGTTGTAAGTCGAGGACTACCTGTATAATAGAAAGCGACTGATCTCTGTTTTAAACTGGCATGTTTAAAAAGAGTGAAAACAAGTAATCAGGCTTTGTAATGCAGCCTGACAAATGAGTTGCCCAATAACCCAGAACAATTACAAAGCTCCAAACTCACTGTTTCAGATTCTGGTTTCTTAGGAAACTAGCAAGCGAAGCTGGGGATTTTCTCTCTGGACATTTACACCAAACAAATCACAATCAGGGATTCCCAGTTGGAACACTATGTGCAATAGTCACAGAGGAAAATTCCCTAATTTGGTTGTTACATCTACTGGTGAGAGGCAACCTGAACCTACTGCTGAATCTGATTTATTGGAACTTGTAAATTGGCTCAAATGGTTCCAATCACTGCTGCAATTTAATTTTGGTTTTTTTTTTTTACTATAGACAATACTTGACCATTTTTGAATAAGTATAACAGACTGACTCATAAGGCAATGTTCTTAAAAAGAAAGAGCTGGCTACTTCATACCTTGGCAGCCTGGACTGCAATTTTATGAACTTTAGAAATAGAAATAGAATAACAGAGTTGGAAGGGACCTTAGAGGTCTTCTAGTCCAATCTCTTTAGGCAGGAAACCCTACACCGCTTCAGACAAATGGTTATCCAGCACCTTCTCCAACATCTTCTCCAATTATCCAACATCTTTCTCCTAGGAATAAATTTATTCATGTCATTTGGATCTATTTCTACATGAAAAAGCTATCTGATTATGATATATTGACTATATTTATGGTTATTACTTTTTCCCCGTCTGTAGGGATTTGCACTTATTCACTGAAAGACTCACAACTATGGCTATCAACCAAAATAATGTTCTTGTTTGATCTATCTATCATCTATCTATCTATCTATCTATCTATCTATCTATCTATCTATCTATCTATCTATCTATCTATCCTTATAGTGTGTGAGAGAGGGAAGAGAGGGGGGAGGCAGGAGTGAGGGAAAGAGGGGGATCTTGGTGTCCCAACTGACTTGATCAGACTTCTCAGATTACTGTACATTGATCAGGAGGCAACAGTAAGTACACTTTATGGCGATACAGATTGGTTCAGGATCAGTAAGGGAGTTAGACCATTTTATCATTTTTGTTCAATCTGTATGCTGAAGTTATCATGAGGAATTTAGATCTGAAACTGCCTGATGTTGGAGTGAAGACTGGGGGAAGAACGATAAATAATTTGAGGTACACAGATGATACAACCCTATTGGTTAGGTGAGCTAGGGTTAATCACTTTATCTCACTCTTGGGAAACAGGCAATGGCAAATCACTTCTGAAATCTTACCAAAATACCTTCAGGGATTTGCCAGGAGCCAAGGCTAACTTGAGGGTGCAGAGACACAGATACAATAAAAATGAGAACACGATATCTGCAGTTGTTAGGATTGATGAAAAACAACAACAACATCCTACTATGGTCAAACTAGAACTAAAAACCTGAGAACAGAGATCACCAGAACAGTCTCTCTTTGCATTAAGCAGGCAGAAACATGCTACAGAAGTTTGTCTAACTCTATAACCACCATAAGGTAAAGAAAAACCAGAATTACTGAAAAAAACCAGTACAACACTAATAATGAAGATGCCCTCAGGGTCAAAGGAGCCTCTTTCTCAGTGTCCAAAAGGTGCTTTTTCAAGAGGCAACTGAACTTTATTTTCCATTGAAGACATTTTGCTTCTCATCCAAGAAGTTTCTTCAGTTATGACTGTCTCAGAGTCAGAACTGAAGAAGCTTTTGGGATGAGAGGCAAAACGTCTTCAAGGAAAAACAAAGAAAGTCCAGTTGCTTCTTGAAAAAGCACCCTTGGGACAACCATGACCTGGATGACTGAGAATCTCCATAGACCCTTCTTCTGGGATGCTTTGATTCTGAAGTAACATGTGCTTGGAGGTTAATAGTGACAAAAAGTTGGTCCCTTTGCTGCCATCACTTCTTTGTTATAAACTTGTGTTCCCCATCAGCCTTCTGGGGAACCAGGAGAGGATTTAAGGGGAAATCCTCACTCAAATCTAGGTCTAAGTAAATTACAGGAAGAGAAATCCAACAAATGTTTGCAAATAATTTGCTCAGCAAATATGAGACTGGTGCTCCAGTCAACTCCAGAATTCACAAAAAAATAAAATAAAATCAAGCTTATTACATATGTCAAAGAAAGATAAAGTTCCAGACATGCAATGCACAATTAAAAAAAACATAAAATAAAATATAGAAAATCCCTAATGTGTTTCTAGCCTACAACAAAACAACTCCTGAAGTTTTCTACTCTTGCCTGAAGTAACCTCCCTCATCTGGGATGCCAGCCAACTGCAAAATATGCCAACTCTTCCTGCCAAAAACAAATAAAACCTCTGCTTTTCCTCTGTTGGTTCTCAGGGCTCACATGACTCCCTCTCAACACCTACGGACGGATTGTTATTTAAAGGGCCAGCTTCTCCTTGCTACAAATATGTTAAGTGTTTACTGAAACTTTTGCTCAAATTAATTATCAATGTGATTAACTTAGAAAAAAATTGAAATATTTCATTGCAAATGTTATTCCTTAAGGTCTGAGGGTTTTACTTGTTCAAATTTAAATGCTGTTGAATCTGATTCCTTGCTAGATATATTTGTATAGTAATAGCACTTAGACTTATATACTGCTTCACAGTGCTTTACAGCCCTCTCTAAAAGGTTTACAGAGTCAGCACATTTCCCCCAACAATCTGGGTTCTTATTTTACCCATCTCAGAAGGATGGAAAGCTGAGTCAACCTTGAGCTGGTGAGACTCGAACTGCCGGCACGGCTCTTATATAACCTACTGCCAAACTTATTTTTGTCCTGAACATAACAGGAGTTGTAGGTATATAAAAATGGCTCCGTTCTTTTTTTTTTTCCATAGTGAATCAAATTTAAACTAAGTAAAAAAGAATACTGACCCTTCTATTTTGCTTAGCAAAACACTTCAGATTTTGCTAACAACTCAGGAAATAATGAGCATTTTGGAGATAAAGCAAATGTCAAATGCATTGCATTAAACAGAAAGAAAGAATGTCAACCTTAGCAAATTTCCAAATATGAGAAAAGGTTATTATTCTTTAAGGCAGCGTTCTCAACCTTGGCATCTTTAATGTGTGTGAATGCTGCTTTAAGGTTATAGCTGAAGACAGGAAAAACCTCATTCAGCCATTATTGGCAATCTTCTTGGCTCAAAAAAAGGGTTTTTTCCCCTTCATTTTCTCCATTCATAAAGAGCTGTGGTGGCACAGTGGCTAGAGTGCAGTACTGCAGGTTACTCCTGATGACTGCTGATTGCCAGCAGTTTGGCAGTTAAAATCCCACCAGCTCAAGGTTGACTCAGATTGTTGGGGGCAGTAGGCTGAGTCTGTAAACCACTTAGCGAGGGCTGTAAAGCACTGTGAAGTGGTATGTACTGTAAATCTTTAGTGCTATTGCTATTGCTATTCTCCATAGCTATACATGCTTCTGTTTTTAAAAATTGTGTACGTGTGTGTACGTGTGCGTGCGTGTGTATGGAAGCGAATGAATCAAGTAAGCAAAATGAAGATTTTTTTTTAAAAAAGAATTCTTATTCATATATATATAATAAATGCTTACCGTATTTTTCAGAGTATAAGACACACCGTTTTTCCTCTAAAAAGAGGCTGAAAATCTGGGTGCGTCTTATACACCAAATACAGCGTTTTTTGCCTCCTGAAGCCCCGCCCCTTTCACCAAAATGGCCGTGCATAGCCTCATGGAGGCTTTTAGACAGTTCCTGGGGGCTGGGGAGGGCAGAACTGAGCAAAAGATGGGCCGTTTTCTGCCCCTCCCCCCAGCTCCCGGCAGCACTCTATAAGCCTCCATAAGGCTATGCATGTATTTTTTTGACAAAAAAGGCCCGGTTTCATGAAAAATGGGCTGTTTTTTGCTCTTTTTGCCCCCTCCACCCTCCCAGGAGCACTATGCAAGCCCCCCCAAGGCTATTCATGCCTTTTATTTGGGAAAAAACAGGCCCGTTTTCGTGAAAAATGGGCCATTTGGGGGAGGTTTGCAAATTGCAAAGCCTTTTTTTTTCTCCTTTTGGAAAGCTGTTTAGTTAAAGTGGTTGATGAGTTTTAGGTGCTACAGGTTGTCAGCGATTTCCTTCTCCAGCACATGCATTAATACACCTGGAAACATCTACCTACCTACCTACTCTCTCTCTCTCCCTACCTACTACTGTATTTCTCTCTCTCTCTCCCTCTATCTACCTACCTACTTTTTTTTAAAAAATTGCTTCTTCAAAACCTGGTGTGTCTTATACTCCAGTGCGTCTTATACTCCAAAAAAAAGGTAATTCTTAGTCAATATATAGTGAAGTAAAAGATTTGAAGCTGGTGAAACATCGAGAATTTAGAAAGCATTGTATGGCATTCTTAGCAACGGCTGCCATGAGATAAGAAACGAACATCTTCAGTTGAGCTGGATTCTGATGAATTCATAGCCATCTCTATATAGTTTTCTGGCAGCAATACAGAAATCATCTGCCACAGCCTTCTTCCAGGAAACTTTTCCTCAACTTTTTTCTAGCCTACAGCCATGGAATTCCTACGTAGTTCTTTTCCACATGCAAACCAGATCTGACTGCTTAATTTAAAGATCAGCCAAGGTCAGTTCAACATACGCCACAGAAAATTTGCCTACTCAAAAAAAAAAAGAGATGATCTAGTGCCTTGGGCTATTTGTAAAACTAGTTCAGCTATTAGCTCTAGCATTCTGGGATGCTTTTTCCTGCTCCTGTCCACAGTTTAACTATTTTTTTTATGAGCACATGACACATTTCCAATAAATTCCAAGTGAGCATGCGAATTTCAGATTGATTATTTAATTAAAATAGTATAAAATAAATAATGCATGGGTGGAGCTGGAGGTATTGCAGGAAGTATCTGCGGGTGTTATATTTTCTCCTCTTGAATATAGTGTTCTACCTGGCAAATCATTACTTTTATTGTTACAATGTCAGCTTGTGTGTAAAACGGAAAAGTAAAGAAGAAAGAAATGGATCAAAAAAGGAAGGGAGAGAGAGAGAAGAGGAAAAACATATTTGGGAGGCAGCTAAAAAAGAAAGTGTTCAAAATTAAACATGGAGTTAAGAAAGCAAACTAGAGGTACTTGGGATCAATCTTCCACAAAACCTTAGCAACAAGGAGTCCAAAATCAACTATTGTTTTAAATGGGGAGCAGAAAGAAGACTGGGTATCTAAGCAAGATGGGAAGAGGCTTCAAGGAAATTCCTCCAATTCCTCCTTAATAGCTGCTAAGGTAAAGATCTAAGGTGATCTGTAAAAGTATCATTCTGCCTCAAAAGAAGTGAAAGAAAATTCATGCGGTTTTGTTTTACCCTTCTGTTCAAAAGGAATTGATCTATTTTTGCTATTATTTGTTCATGGGCTATCAACATGATTTGACACTGTTCAATATCAAATTTTCACTTCATAATTAGTAAAGTTGTATTAGCTATGTTAAAAATAAGGAAGAAGCTTAGGCAGATTCAAAAACTCTTAATTACTTTAATTAAAATAACGTGGTAACCCAACCAGAAGATCTTGTCAACAACAAATCCTGATTACCTAATAAAATTGCAGTAAAGAATTTCCTTGCCTCCTGAAGAGGTTGCAACAGATTTCCTACAACAAAATTATCATTTACTTTACCTTCTGTGGGTCATAATCTGACCTTTAAAACTTCTTTCACAATTCAACAATTCTTACTGTTGATATTCTCCAAATACACAATTTAAATGTGCTTCTGTGAAATTTCCATTCATGAATTCTAATGCCCTACATTTTCTACACATTAACCTGTTCTGACCCCCCTCGTCCCATAACACACTCCGAGCCAAAGATACTTTACAGCATTTAATAACAGACAGGTCCTTGGCAGCAAACCAGTACAGATAAGCCTTGGCAGCAATCCAGCCTGCCAAGCTCACAATAATGTTCTCCAACATTAATTCATGCATTGACTTCTGCAAAAGGGGCTTGTGCACAAGCAGTCCTTTTATAAACTGGAGAGGAGCCTAATTACCACCAGCTGAGTGCAATTACCTCCGGTAACTGCGCAACTGTTCCTGATGCCTATTAGCTCTTCAGTGCCGGGCATCGAGGAACAACTCACTGCTGACGTCAGAATCACACTCCCTTGTCTCCTCCCCACTGGTCCAAGGCTCAGATGCCTCCTGGTGGCCAACCAGCCTCTCTGTGCCCTGCTTGGAGTCGGAACCCTGTCCAGGGTCCTCCACATCCTCCAGAGCCGACTCATAGGGCCCCTCGCTGTCAGAGTCTGGTGGCAGCTCCAACGGCTCCTGCTGGATCACAATATTAACCATTCTCTCATTTGAAAAAAAAAAAGATTGAAAAGGCTCAAAATACTTACATATCACTGGCAATAGAGGAGTTCCTGGACATAGACTTTGGCGACAGATCATAGTCGCTATCTGATCGGTAGAGAAAGGATTCTCTGCGTTGACTGTGAACAAAATTTGCCTGGAGAATTAGCCCTGATCCAGGGCTTGTCATGGGATCCAAGGGACTCCGTCCCGATGAGGTGCCATTGTCTACGTCGAAACTGCAAGGAAGTAAGGATATATTTAATGCAATGTAGCACCTAATCAACCCCACACAATTAATAGCCAGGACAACCTTAATTGACTTGATGACATTTGGTTCAACTTCAAGATTTCGATCTTGTGGTCAGGCATGATGGGAGATTAAATCCAGTACATCCAGAGAGTACAAGATTAGAAAATTCAAAGAACATTTTGGCTACACAAAACCTGTTCCTTCTATGAAGCTAGTTTTCAAATGGATAAAGAAGTTAAAGCAGGGGAGAAATAATAACAAAAGGAAATAGCAGAATATAGGAGAAAACAGAATAATTTCCTTCTCCACAAGTTTTTTAATGTGGGAAGAAGTAAATTTGGCTTAACCATGCAACAGCATGGTTACAGTTATCTCATTGGCCCAATTGCAAGATTTTTGTAAGTTTTTGGTTCCTATAGCCTTGATTTTACTTTTTCTTATACTGGATAAACGTGTCAAATTTCAAAATTTTGAAACTAGTCTCGGTGTTGTTGTTGTTTTTAATTCAATGGAAAGTTTTCATCCCCTAAAAAAGAATATTGTCTTTACATATAACATATATATTTCAGAGACTAGCCTAGATATGTGCCTTTCTTCATTAATTGCAGCATTATGGAACAGACTGCAAACCCAATCCCACCCATAAAACCCATGATGCTGAACTTGTCTCCTGACTGATTTGCACAACTTTATCGTGCTGTTTTCCATATAACAGAAAGCCTCAACAGCTGCAAGATTCAATGAGCATCAACACAATTTATCATTATGACAGCAATTCTTTCCAGCACCACAGAAAAATTTAAAAAGCTCTAAACTTTCTGACCCATTTTTAATTTCAGACTGAGGAGAAAAAGGAATACCATGTTATCTGCTATTTTTGAGAATTAAGATATTTTTTAGGTGATGTTTTATTGTGCAACTGTCCTGCTTGCATCCTGGTATTTTATTACGAGCCCAGAAGACAATACTGTCCACTCTTTCTAACTCATTATTTTCTCATATCTATTTTTGGCCTTATTTTTTTCTTCCAACATTTCTTCCAAGCTTTCAAGTGGGAAAAGAGAAAAGGGCTGCCTAATACATCTGATTGGGTATTGCTCAGAGGCAACCATCTGGAAATATTTCAATCTCAAAAGATAGGAACGCAAATTTGGAGACCTCTACACAATCAGTGAAGGCATGCAGTACTTAAGCTGCTTTCTATTACCTTAGATAATCTGAATAACCAGAACTGCTAATTTGATGTGATGATAACTCTTCAAAGAAGCCCAATACTGATAGGCAAACATCCCCTTACTTTTATTGCTACCCATCTGATTCCTTCTCCACGTGAGCTTTGAATCTTCTGGTGCTTGACTTGGCTGGTCCTTTTCCTAGTTATTGACAAGCTGCTAAAGCCTTAGTGCTCTTCAAGGATTTCTTCCTCACCCAAATCAACGTGACAAAATATTTAAGTGTTTCTGCCACCTCGTCCTGGATCCAGATTACAGTTTGATTTTGATATAATATAGTAAAAAATCAAACAGCTCATAGCATTGTATCCAGAATAAAATTCTGAAATCTTAATAAGAGATGAGAAATGTTCCTTCCTAAATCAAACCCTGGGCAATCTCGCTGAATTAACAATATTTGGATTGAGAAACTAGATTTGGATTGAGAAACTGCATTTGGAACATTTGTAAATGAAATATTTGTTGCAGTACAATACAGTATCCACTAGATGGAAGTCAAAAACAACAAGGAACAAGCTCACACTGAAATTCGCATTTGGATAGGATATTGCTTGAGCATTTGTACTAATACTAGTATTTCCTTTACAAAATTCTCGGGTCACAGGGATAAAAAAATTGTACTGATAAATGAAAGCAAAACAACAATGAACTGTACTTATATGTGATGCAGTTTCAAGTTCTATTTATATTATTTGTTAACTTCAATGCTATTTAGAAAGCACCTTCTCCAATCCTATTTTCAAATCAAACTCTTTTAGTACAGTCACAAATCAGTTTTCTGAAGAACAACAGACTTGGATAGAGGTAGTGAAATGAGGGAAGAAAATAAAACAAAAGGTGGCTTTTAACTTCTTTCGGTAGAGTAAGATTCCTAATAGTTATCATATCAACTTTTTATTTGTAGATGTATTAAAAGAGTGAAGATCATCTTAAAATCCAAACTCAGTGGAGGAAATATCATCATCTTCAAATATCATAACACCTGAGCAATCCCAGTCATAAGATACACAATTGGAATATTGAATTGGATTTAAGCAGAACTACAAGTCCTGTACAGAAGACAAGAAAATTAATGATGGTGAATTGAGCTTTTCATTCATGCAGCAACTTTGTCAGACTCTATTTACTAAGGATATTAGATGGGAATGGAATTGTGGCAAGTACACCAGAAAATTAAAGAAGAAAAAAGGGCATTGGAAGAATACCTGAAGGACAGCGAAGAAAAAAGATGCACTGAAACTAATAAACTACGAAGGTACATGGAATATTGAAGAGACCAAATAAGGAAAAGAAAAGAAACATGGCAAGTCAAAGTATTAGATGGCCAGTACATTAAAAAAAAGGGAGGTGGGACATGTTGGCTCAAAGTTTAGGACACTAGTGTTGTTGACTGAAAAGTTGGCAACCCATGTTTGAGACTCAAGTGTTGAGTAATGGGGTGAGTTCCTGTTACTTGCCCCACCTCCTGCTCATTTATCAGTTCAAAAAACATGCAAATGCAAGTAGATAAATAGGTACCACTTCAGAGGAAGATAACTGCGTTCTGTGTGCTCAGTGTATAGTTATGCTGACCACATGACCACGGAAACGTCTTCAGCTAATGGTGGCTGCCTTCTGTAAGAAACAGAGATGAGCCAAACTCACCCCTAGAGTTGAACATGACTGGAGATGGGAAACCATTACCTTTACATAAAAATATAACATTAGCAAGACCTGGCAATGGCTAAGGGTAGAAAAGTTGAATTCCTGTAAGAATGGAATTCAAATATTCAAGTCTCTTTCAGCCAGCCCCTAGAGACAAAAGAGACCTGAAATCCAAGCAGAGAGTGGAGGGACAGTATGGCGAGGTAAGGATTGTGGGGTACTTCAGGTGGGTGGGGGAGGCTGTGGGAGCAGTGAGGTTAAGGGGGGATTCGGGCGGGCAAGGATAGCTGATGCGCAAAATATACATTGCAACGCTTATTGCAAAGCCTCTCAGCTATCAAACGACAACCCGGCCTTCACGTGGTGCCCCCCGTTCCCACCAATCAGGCTCTGTCGACCCTTGGGACTGGCGCCCCCTTGGGTATATCCAGCCGAAACAGCTTCCATGGATCGCCGTATCCATTCCAATGAAACGGCCAAAAGGAGGTGTTCGTCTAACCACTCTGCGTCACTTCAAACGGAAAGCCGAATATAGTCATGCGCCCATTCAATCTTAGCCGAAAATCATATAATAGCGACTGGCTGCACCACCTGACAACCCTAGCCCAGGACCGAAAACAGTGGCGTCAAATTTCCATGGAAGTCGCCTATACCCACGATGGGTGAAGAGGCGTCAAGTACAAGTACAAGGGGGGATTCTTATCTTATAATAGTGTGAGTATTGAAGGGCAGATCAGAGATTTATTCAAAATTCTTGTTCACTTCGATGACGTGGGTTAATCTATCATTATTTCCATAACAGTAATATGTTTGAATGAATATCAGTGCATTTTATACTTTGGTCATGTTGCTTTTATTAATAGGATAAATCTGTAAATTGTGAATACATTAGATCAGGTTGTAAGAAACAAGAGAACTTACTAGTAAGCAACTCTATTAAATCTGTTTCCGTTCTTTAAAACAGCAGCAGTTGAAAAAAAATACACACACATTCTGCATTCCAACTTTCTGGCTGCATATAAATCTGGCTACGTAGAGCATAAAATGTCCTTAAGTAAACGTAATAGGAACGGAATACTGTTGAATACCAAGCCAGCCCATCATGTTCAGTACTGTTTACAGAGGTTCTCCAGAGTTTTTCATACAAGAATCTTGCAATCTGAAAATGCCAAGATCTTCTATACTAAAAACATGTACTCTATCATTCAGCTACAGCCTATTTAGGTCTGTAAAACATGTACCCAGGCACAATCCTGCATTATGCATTATTCACTGATAATTAGACAGGAGGATTTTAAACAAAGTTTTAATGGACAAATTATGTATGTCAATTGTTTTAAACTTACACCCCTTCTAGCAAATAAAAGTCACTTGATGTCACCTATCAACTTTAATAGCTCCGCTGCTGAAACATCTATTCATGATATTCTCTCTTCATGTTTCCAGAAGAATGTATTGGTATCTTTTTATACAAAACAGGAATTTAAAAATCCATTCTACCTTTATACTGTGTTTTCCCACAAATAAAACATGGTCTTATTTTCTCTTGACCCCTGAAATAAGGGCTTGGCCTTATTTTTGGGGAGGTCTTATTATTTTTGAGGTGCAAGAGGCGGAGAGTGTGATCACCTCATGGCTGCTGCTGTGTTGCAATATTTTTGGGAGGGTTTATTTTTTGGGGGAGGTCTTATTTTAGTGCATGCACTCAAAAGCCCAATTGGGCTTATTATCCGGGGAGGTCTTATTTTCAGGGAAACAGGGTAGGATTTACATTTACAAACAACAGTCTCAAAATAGGTAGTGAAATGGCATTTGAGATCTTTACTGCAGGTTATATATTCACCTGTGTACCAAATGACAGCTGGGTCTACTCATTCAAAAATTATGAATTATTTTATCCAGAAGCCAAAGCATTCATTAAAGCTGGGTAAAGAAATTGCCTGTAAATGTTTCTGCTGTTGATTCAGACAGTAACCTTAAAAATGGTTTGAATCCAGCCCAATCATTCTGATCCATTTGTAAACAGGATATGGTAAGTTTCACAGAGATAAGAGCTATAAACCCTGCTAACTGCAATTCAACTTTTATAAACAGAATGCACACAAAACTGTATCAACTTGGAAAAAGAGTTATATTTTTCCATATTTGCGCACATTTATCATTGCTTTCCCCATATTTCCCAAGTGAGAGGATGGAATGAATTTCAGTCCAATGATAACATTCTATACTAGCTTGCATATACTAGCAAAAAAGCACAGGTTGTGTTCATTTCATAGAATTAGGTAAGAAAATGTGTATGTACTTATTTCTCTATAGTACAAAAATCAGCATAAATCAATTCATTAAGGCTATCTAATGAGTGCATAGTGAAAGTATTAATGAGTTCACGCAGAAAGTATTATATAAGAAAGTATATGTATACGTTTACATATACAGTATGTTTATACGTCTCTGCAGCAGAGGTGGTTCCTACTTCATGTGCAGTAGGTAAAAAATGCTTCTGCGCATGCGCAGAAGCAAAAAGCAAGATGGTGGCACCTACGGCACCCCCAATAGAACTGATTTGGGGGCATGGTCGGCCGAGTTACTACCTACACGGCCGAACCAGTCCGAACTGGTAGGAACGCACCTCTGTTCTGCAGTCACTTAGAACATGGGGAAGGGGAAAAAACATAAGTTCTTCTCATTTACTGATAATTTGTTCAGAGACAAATTTATATTTATGAAGATGCTGAAAAAGGTGATCTATGACCAGTCCTCGAACTTGTGGCCATAGCATTGCAGTCACGTGATCGTGATAACAGAATTACAGAATAACAGAGTTGGAAGGGACCTTGGAGGTCTTCATTTGGGTGATTCAGATGCTTGGCAACTGGCACATATTTAAAACAATTGCAATGTCCTGCAGTCATGTGATTGCCATTTACAACCTTTACAGTTGACCAGGCAATATAGCAACTGGCAAGAAGTTGCAAGTCCTGGTCCCATGATATCACACTTAATGACTGCAGCTGGTTTGCTTCACAACCAAAGCAGATTGAGTCATAAGTCAAGTGCAATCAAGTGATGTTTCCCTTGTTCACTATGTTGCTTAGCAAGAAAATTACTGGTTTCAATTATGGTCAGTAAGTGAGGACTACCTACAGTGTATCTAAGCTTCAAGGCTAAGCTTCAGTTAGGCTATGGAGGACAGAAATGGCAGAATGAGAACATGAGAGATTGAAAAAGTTAAACTCTTTAGCTTTCCTTCTAGCAAAACGTATTAATCCCGAGGCATTTTTGGTCTCTTTTTAAAAACTTCTTTAAGGTAAGAATTTTTAACATGCTTCGTGATTCCAACTCAGTATGCACTTTTCCTACATATTTTCTAGAATTATGCCATTTGTGTTCAACTCAGAAAAGTATTTTTTTAAAGATTCCGAATCACCTTTTGCTCTAATGAACTAAACAATTCAATGACTTTGAATTTTAGTTCTGATTAACAACATTTTGAACAGTGTCCTTCTTTCTTTATGTCCATCTCCCCCAGTGACGTGCGGTGAGGGATACCGTTGGTGAGGCAAGAGCACGGCAGCAGCGAGAAGCAACGTCCCCACCGCTGTGTCCGACAGGCGTCTCTCGTTTATGATGGACATAAACGCGAGATGCCTGTCGGACACAGCGGCGGGGGTGTTGCTTCTCGCTGCTGCCGTGCTCTTGCCTCACCAACGGTATCCCTCACCGCACGTCACTGGGGGAGATGGACA